AGCAGCAGCAGCAGCAGCAGCAGCAGCACAGACAAACGTTCACCATGGCCAGCCTTGAGGACACAGACGATCTCTACGCCGACCTCTACGGAGCGGCAGAGGGAGGCGTCGGCGACGTCGTCGACCTCGGAGGCGAAGACAAGGACACCGCCAAGGACGAGCAGGATCTCATCGGCTACGAAGACGACGACCGCAAGGATGTCGGTGGCGATAGCCGCGATGCTGGCAAGTCGGGCGACGAGGCTGCTGCCGCTCCGAGCACGTCGTCGTTCATTCCTCCGCCCTCGTCTGCACAGCAGCAGCAGCAACATGGCGGCGGAATGCAGATCAAGGGCAGCTTCATACCCCCGCCCGAGTCCTCATCGCAGGCGCATGGCGATGTCAGGGATCTGACGCCCTCGAGCCGCAACGACGCATCTGCTTCGGCGTACGACGCTGGTGCTGGCGTGTATGGAGGCCAGCAGGGCGCAGCCGACGCAAATCGCAACGACAATCGCGAATTACCGCCTCACGAGATGCCAGAAGAGGGGTGAGTATCATGCCTCTGCCCCCTGCCGAACGCTCATTGCTTTTCTATTGCTCGTCAAATCTAGTCGTGCGATCGGCTTCGGCATTCCTGCCCGCTCTTGGACTATGGTTCTACAAAGCGGCTCGATTCACTTGGCATCGACAGTCATTGACCTCTTGCACTCTTCCCTGTATCGCCTTCCCCGTTCTTTTTTTGCCGTTCCACTAATCGTCACCGCTTTGCATCGCATCGTATCGTATCGCAACGTCATCCTATTTTCGCCATGATCCTTGTTGTCACCGTCACCATCACCGTCACTACCATCGTATGCACATCACCACCGTCGCTGATACCTTCACTGTCACCGTACTCGCATTCATCATCATCGCCGCTACCGTCATCTTCGTCATCGTCTGCATCATTATCGTCATCGCCATCGTCCACTTTACACTTTTGACGTGGCCCCACCTTCGCACCTCGCACCTCGCACCTCGCATCTTGCACTGCACCAACACACACACCTCGCATTCTGGAATGCTAATCTCGTTGGCACATGTGCATCGACTCGCATCGCGCCCATTTGTGCTTGACTTTGAACAGCAAAATGTTTGTCGGCGGTCTCAACTGGGACACCACCGAAGGTAGCTATTGTGCATCGGGGTCGCGTGATGTGCTGTCGAGGGGCGCGTGCGTTTGCTGACTCGTATGTTCTTGTAGATTCGTTGCGGCGCTACTTTTCGCAGTTTGGCGAGGTGGGACACTGCACGGTGATGCGCGATGCCAACACCGGCCGCTCGCGCGGCTTTGCCTTTCTCAACTTTGTCGATCCCAAGGCGGTCAACACGGTCATGGTGCGCGAACACTATCTCGACGGTAAAGTGGTAAGTGTCGATCCTGCATGTTCCGCAGACTCTTCTTTCGCTCACACTTCGCCTCGGTTCTGTGATAGATTGACCCGAAGCGCGCGATTCCGCGACCTCAGCAGAGCCATCACGGGCTCGGTGGAGGGTTCGGTGCTGGGCAACCGGCTGCGAACCAGAAGCTGTTCGTTGGAGGGCTGCCAGCGAGCGTGACGCCGGAATCGTTCCGAACCTTCTTCGAGCAGTTTGGTACACTGTCCGAATGCACCTGCATGATGGATCGCGAGACGGGCCGACCGCGCGGCTTTGGCTTCCTCACGTATGCAGACGATGCATCGCTCGACCGCATCCTATCGGCGAACCCGATCATGTTTGACGGCAAGGAGGTCGACGTCAAGCGCGCGCAGTCGAAGAACGATCCGCAGTCGCTCCAGCTGCGACGCCAACAGCGCTTCGACAACCCGGACGCCGCCATGGGTACCGGCATGGGCCCGGGCATGGGCCCTGGCATGGGCCCTGGCATGGGCGGCCGCATGCAGCAGGGCAACCGCTTCGCCACGGGCAGCAACAGCTACGGCGGTGGCAACATGGGCGGCAACGGATGGGGGATGAATCCGATGATGATGGGCATGATGGGTCAGAATGCAGCCGGAGGCTTTGATCCCAACGCCATGGCGCAGATGTACCAGAGCATGGGATGGAATCCACAGATGGCATGGCAGCAGATGATGGCCAGCATGTCGCAGGGCGGCGCAGGCGGTGCGGGTGGCATGGACATGAACGCCATGATGGGCGGTATGGGCGCGATGGGCGGCATGGGCAACATGAGTCCGCCGTCCGCCAACTCGATGAGCCCCACGCTCGCCGCCGGTAGCGCGAATGGCGGCAATGGACGTGCGTCATCCAACGGACCCAGTGGACCGAGCGGGGATGATCGTAACGATCGCAGTGATCGTGGTGGACGATACCAGCGCGGAGGCAGCCACACGAGCGGCGGCGGTGGCGGAGGCTCGCGGGCAGGCCTGCCGTCCAAGCCGGGCTACGACTCGCGCGACGACCGCGAACGCTCTCCCCCAC